CAGTAATCAGAAGAATTACAATTATATTTCTTTATTTCGCAATTAATTAATAATTATTATAAAACGAAACTATAAATACTCGATTTGATTTATATTTACTATAATTTTAATTTTTATAACATCAATTTTATATAAAAAAAATCAATCCTAATATGCTCATTAACGGTTTACAAAATTTTCAAAATTTATTCATTCCCTTTTAATTTATTAACTATACGCGGGAAGCTCTTACATGCGGAGAGCTGAATTTAATATAATTAATTTTAATATACAATAATTTCAATACATTAATTTTTTAACGTGATTAATAAAAAGCGGGTATACAAATTTATGTTAAACAAATTGATAGAGATATAATTTTTTTAAAGTGGTGCACAAATTAATGTTCAACAAGTTCAGAATAAATATGATTTTTTGAAAGCGTCGAGAAACGAAAGGAAAACGAGAAATGGGTTCGCATTTCATGTTGATTTTAATTAGACTAATTTCATTGCATGCTTGTAGCGATCCGCGCACGGGGAAGGGGGGAGGGTGGGTTACCTTTCCAATGCGCATCGGTCACGGATAATTGGGTTAAACGTTGTAATCGCAGGCGAATGGCTGAACAATCGAGCACAATTAATGCTGCAGAAACGATCTGGGAAACAATTAAAAACGGGCCACTTTAACAGGCCGTGCGTTAAGAACCGTCACAGAGGGTGTTCCTTTTTTTCCCGCACAATCGAATGTCCTCGTTATCTTTACCGATATGAACAAATGTATCGGAATGAATTTCTTCGGTTCGAAGGTTCTAATATTATAATTCTGGCGCTTTTTCCCTCAAGGTCATTCCTCCCGAGTTCTGAAGGTCATCGCAATTTTGTTCATATCGACATATATTGTTTATAACGCAGCGTAAAAGTGCATATCAAGACGAACTCAACGACCTGCTCTAATTCGAATATTAAACAAATTAGGAGAGCACCGATTTGCGATCTGCATCGCAGATTTATACATAATATTTATAGTTATAATATTTATATTTATAATATTTATATTTATAATATTTATATTTATAATATTTATACTTATAATATTTATAGTTATAATATTTATATTCATAATATTTATATTTATAATATATTTATAATTAATATTTATCGAAGAACGAAATTCTTGCGTATCTGCACAAAATTGTTTTTATTTTTCCTAAAGATCCGCAGTCTTAGCGATAATTCTGTTATCAATCTTTTTGCGAGCCAATTCAAAATGCAAATTAATGATCGACTTGTTTTTTTTTATGTACCAATCCCGATATCTCGAGTACCGCTGCGATATCTTAATAACGTCTCGATATCTCTGCCACTCGTGCGACTCTTCCACTCGAAAAGATTTGGCAACCGGCGAAGCGACACCGGTAGCATTCTGGAGCGGTTCAAAGCGGAATCCTCGGCTTCGAACAAGAGAGCTCGCCGCGTATCGAATCAGTTGTTGAACGTCGACCACGCGCCGAACTTCGAGCTGAGATATCGCTGAACGGAAAACAAGCGACTTACAAAGGAAACCACGTTGACAGATACATGTCGAATTTGACGGAACTCTGCACAAGTGTTTAATGGACCTACCTGACAATTCAACCGTATTTCGGCAGTGCGCGTTATTTACTTTAAGGGAGAAATCAACACCTTTGTCGGAACTGCGTATTCTACGTTTAAAGCAAGAGCTTTTAGAAAATGGTTCAAATGAAAATAACGTCGTATTTTGAGTCAGGAATAATTTGCTTTGTACAGATCGTATTTGGAGGCAACGCTTCAGGGGTGAAACTGGTTTCAACGTTTAACAACCCCTAAATTCAAAATTGTATTTCTCGACTGCCGTAAGAGATATTCGAATGGATCTAAAACCAGTTTGTAGAGCGTACTTTTCTGTTGCTTCGTGAATTTTTTCAAGTTTTCTGCGTACTTCGTAAGGGTAGGAAAAATTGATCTTGTACACGAGTTCCTAATCCAACGTCTTAGCGGCAATACTTTTTAGCGTTTAGTAACCTATAAATGTATAAATGGATGCCTCGGTTACCATGTGAGGTATTTAAACGAATCAAATCGCAAATTGTTCGGAGGGTTTTGGTGTTGTTTTCTGAATTTTTCTAAATTTTTAGGTGACTCGGTGAGGGTGGAAAAATTCATCTTGTATAGATCGTTTTTGAAGCCTACTAGTTTTAGCGTTCAGCAACCCCTAAATTCAAAACAAAATTTCTCAGCAACCGTAAAAGATATTCGAATGAACCCGAAAGCATATCGTAGAGCGTACTTTTGTGTTGGTATCTAAATTTTTCCAAAAAATTTAGCTCGCCCGATAAAGGTGGTAAAACTTCATCTTGTATACATCGTTTTCGAAGATAACATATCTGGAATCACAATAATTTTAGCGTTCAGCAACTCGCAAATTCAAAAGTGGATTTCTCGACCGCCGTAAAACATATTCCAATGAACTCGAGAGCATATCGTAGAGCGTACTTTCGCGTTGCTTTGTGATTTTTTTCAGATTTTATGCGCGCTCGATAAGGTTGGAAAAAAATTGTTCTCATAGGAACGATTATCGAAGTCTATGACTCTGGAGTATTACCGAGCTTCAACATTCTAGTTCAGCAGAGAATGAAACTTGGGTAGCAGCGTTAGTCGAACTACAGTAATAGCGAAGCACTTTTCCGTCGTTTAATGTTCCCCGAGCGATCCCCCACCCCCTCTCCGTCACTTCAGAAACTGCTCGAGCCTCTTTATTTCGCATGCACTCAACGTTTCTCACTCTCGAGTCCGATGCACACCACGAGAGGGGACACTTGAAAACACCGCCTGACCCTCGATAATATGTATTCACGAGCGAGCCGGTTCCGAATCTCCTATTATCACTTTCGCGTCCGCTGTTTGTGCTCCACTCCGGGTTATTGTTTAGCATTCTTGCGGCTCGAGTGTTTTCCTGAGCCTTCGGCCGTCAACAATCCCCGTTACATGCGTTAGTTTAGAGGACGCGCGACGCGTGCTTCATACGCGATTCAGTTTTAAAGGACTGTAAACGTTCCGTTTGCGCTGGAATCGCCTTGGGCGACAGTGTACACTGATTCAGTTAGTAAACATGCTCGCCACAATTTTCCAACATTTTTATTCTGCTGTAGGATCTTCGGGAGAAATTTTCTACTCGGTGAATTTAATTTTGGTTTGCGAGGCTAAGTGAAAACCACTCGCAGTTGTAACAAAAATCAAATTGTACGAATCGATTGCCTTCGTTCTTAATAATTGTGACAAGTTGAAAATGGTGTGACAGTATTGTGAAACTTCTCGAAACACTTTGCAATTTTCTGTTTCATCGATTTTTCTCGTGAAATGACTAAAAGCCTGCGTTTTAATGATAGAGAGACCGCAGATCATCGCGTGGAATATAAACAGTCTGCATAAACTGTATTGTATTGTATTTTGTCTATTTTGTGTTTCAACCAAGTCGTCTTTGCACAGATTTATATTAGCAGTTCAATTTTATTTTAACGAAGAAATGTGATTCGAACGCGTCGGGAAGCAATCAATTACGAAGAAAATGAAACAAAACCATATTGTACATACATATATTCAACGACCGCAAACAAGAGTGTTGTATCTGTTGAAACTCCAATTTGTATTCCGGAGCACAACCGAATAAATCAATGCACCAAATTTGGTCCGATAACGTTAAAGTTTTAATCAGGTGATCAAAAAGTTAGTGATATCTTTTGAAATTGTTATTTAGAGGAAAATTGTAAGTTAGATAGTAATGTCAAAAAATAATTAAACACCAAAATGATGGAGCAACGTATTAAGTGAAATCCAAAATATCAAGAAAAAATTCAACTGTATTAAGAAAAAACCAATACATCAAGAGAAACCCAAAATATCAAGAAAAAACCTAACATATCAAGAAAAACCTGCATTTCAAGAGAAACTCAAAATATCAAGAAAAAAATCAATGTATTAAAAAAAAACCACACAACACATCAAGAGAAACCCAAAATATCAAGAAAAAAACCAACTTATCAACAAAAACCTGTATATTAGGTAAAACCCCAAGATCAAGAAAAAAAACCACAAACGAGATAAACCCAAGATATCAAGAAAAATCCCATATGTCAAGAGAAACTCAAAATGTCGAGAAAAGACACAATATATCAAGAAGAAACCAACACATTGAGAGAAACCCAAAATAACAAGAAAAAAACCAACATATCAAGATAAACCAAAAATATCAAGAAAAGATACAACATATCAAGTAAAACCCCACATAACAAGAAATAAACCAACACACAAGATACGCCCAAGATATCAAGAAAAGCCAAATACATCAAGATAAATCCAAAATATCAAGAAAAAACCCATCGTATCAAGAAAAACCAGCATATCAAGAATAAAATCAATACATCAAAATTAGTTCGTAATATTAAGAAAAAATCCAACACGTCAAGATAAACTCAAAATATTAAAAAAAGCCCAACATATCAAGAAAAACCTACATATCAAGTAAAAACCAACATATTAAGAAAAAATTCAACGCATCAAGATAAACCCAATATATCAAGTAAAACCCACATAACAAGAAAAAACCAACACATCAAGATAAACCCAAAATATCAAGCAAAGACACAATATATCATAAAAAAACCCGCATATCAAGAAAAAGTCCATCATAGCAAAATAAACCCAATATATCAAGAAATGTCCCATATATCAAACGAGAACGTAGCATCTCTCCAAGCTCCACTTTCTACTCAAAAATTCACCAAAATAAATCCACCAAATCCCGCCTATTTAACCTGACCGTTTCAGTAATACCAGCTGCAAGAATTCAATATCTGCTTGACGAAAGCGGTAGTCGCTATCGCAGTCCGGGAGAAAAAGAGCGAGAGAGGAAGAGAAAGAGAGGAAAAGAGAGAGAGGGGGGGAGAGAGATCGTACGACCTTGGTTAATCAGCGTCGGTGCGAAAGTAATTCTTTGTTTACCTCGTTCGCTTTCGCCGGTGTCTCGGTGAGCCGTCGGAAGCAGCCGGCGATGAGAGACATGGTAGCGGCGGGCCCGTGGTTTCCGGGTGCCGGCGTTGGGACCTCTTGCTGCGGGCCTGCGACGTTGGGCCGACGGTCCGGTGTGGAGGGGAGCCGGAACAGCTGTCGGCGTGGCGCCAGGGATCCCGACCTCTTCTTTCTTCGGCCGTGACAGTGACGCTTATCGGTCAACGGCCAGCCAACCGGACCGAATTAATCCGAACTGAATCGAACTGTACCGATCCGAACTGGATCGGGCTGTACCGAACTCGACCGAATCGAACTGATCCGATCGGACGCGACCGAACCGAACAGCCACGACCGGGCCGAACCGAACTGATCCGATCCGAGCCGAACCGAGCCGTGAAGGGACGGGGAAGAGGGACCCAGCGGAAGAATAGATTAGCGGACGAGGAAACAGGTGGAACGAGGGAACTAACTGTTGCCGCCGCCGCTTTCGTGCTCGGCCCGCCGACGAACGGGGGACAGGGACGAGAAAAGGGTGCGCGGAGAGAAGATGAAACGGTACTACCGTGAACGGACCGCGGGGAAGGAATGACGCGACGCTCGAGACCAGCCTCGGACCAGAGATGCACCGGGAAATGCGCCTGCGAGCTGACAGCCGAGCTCCTACGACTAGGTGGCAGCACCTCACGGACAAGTCGCACGGTGTCTCGCGTAATGTATTTACACTCGCGTATAAAGTGTATCGTCGAACACTCTAATCTATTACGAACTATATCGTAATTATTATTCATTGA